TTTAACGTCCAACTATTATGCACCAAACGGGCTACTCCAAACAGGAATTCTGCCCGGACAGTGGCGTTTCCGCATAATGTTCATCTACTTTCAACTGTTGTCAAGAGGTATTTTATAATGTGAACTGCAAAGGGGAGGCAACTCTGCTTGGGAGAATGATGTGTAACAGAAAGTATTATATGAAAATATCCTGGTGAAATAAACACAGAAATATTTATGTAATTATCCTTTGTAAACAGTTAAGTGTCTCTTGTACTTATCCTAGGAATACATGTATGTGTGAGTCTGTCGGAAGGCAGAATGTTGGACTATCATTAGTTGTGCGCATTTTAATACTAATATTTTGTAATTCACTTAAATATGGCTTAACCATTTAATCCCTATGTAGCTCACTACTCCTCTGATGTTTTCGTAACATGTATGGCTTCCCTTTTGTTTGGTTTAATGGTATGTTTACCCCTATTATCAGTCCTTTATTATTCCCTTGATGTACCCTCACCTAGCCAATCACATCCTGTATGGTTTCTCATTTGTCATGATTGGTTGTCCAATTAAAATTATTTACCCCTATAATCCGTCATATGTATATTGCCTTTGATCATGTTGTTTTTTAATCCTTTGATCTTCTTGTTGTCATGCATGGTTTCTGAATTGTTGTTATTGCTTGTCTATATATAATTGCTCTACACATTTGTTACTGTACTTGCTTGAAAACGTTGAGAGAATACTCTTCGAAACGTCGCCCAAATAAATCAGTAATTGTTCTTCCATAAGTATGTGTTATAGTTTATTGCTCTATCCAGTTACTAAATGCCTCTAAAAGATCAAATATATATATATATATATATATATATATATATATATATATATATATATATATATAAAATCAGAAAAGTATTATTATACCTACAGAATAACAAGGTTTAAACTGACAAATTATGAAAAATAGAAAATAGATCAGCTCCGATACATTGAATGAAAGGAAGACATTATTGGGTATCATTTGTAGAGGATTAAAATTGAAATTTTAGGGGGTAGCGTAACCTAATTTATATCTGGGGTAACTTGGGATCACAGATTATCAAAAATTGTAATTCGTTTTCCATTTTAGATTGATTGCACCCATTGTACAGTCATAGTTCGTTTGGTTGATGTTTTTTTTTATATTTTTCTCTGCCTCTTTCTGTAGACGGCGAGAACTTATCTCAATGAAAATAAAGCCACAGAAAATAACAAAAAATATCAGACATGTTTGAAGGAGGCATTGTGTTATATTATTAAATTCTATCTGAACAGACCAGTTTCTTAAATTAAATAGGCAACGCTTTGCTGAAACGCAGACGCAATTATTTTCGACGAGTGGGCCTAACAATATCTATAGGGGTTTTCGGGTGGGCATGTAAAAATTGGCTACGCTTAGTAGACCAGCACTTTTATTCTAAGAGTTTACATTTATTTTTCATATTCCATTATTTCAAATTAATTACATTTACTGTTTTGGTGAAAGACAAAGTGTTCAATCCCTCTATAAATTACCATCGTCGTTCTCATTGAATAGTAAAATATTGCATTATAGACAGTCGTAGTTATCTCCCTTCTTACTGTGTAATACGTCACGTCATTGTTATGCCTGCATTTCAATGTGGTGGATCTGTTAATCATAATTTCTAAAATTAGGAGATTTTTTACAGAAAATTCTTTAATTTGTGAAGGTAAGTTGTGTGAATTTATTAACTTTCGATTATCTGAGAGCAGACCAACTTAACACTATGATACAGAAACTCAAGTAATGTAACGAAATGTGGGAAAACGCGATTTAGATCTAGCTAGGCCAAGAAGATCTAGCCTACTCGGCTACTGCCTAGTCTAGGCTAGTTACAATTTAACATACTCAATATGGTGATATTTAATTATTTTGATTGCGCAGACATGGTCATGGCTTGTTCCGTTCCACGCATAATACAATATTTAGTTCAGAAAATTGGGGTAAATCAAAAATCTAGTTTGAGTAATTTTATGATTTATGTTAGAAAGTTCGAAGCCAAGTTCCGTGGTGCATGACTACTTGTACTTTTGTTGCTAGATGACCTTGCCTTTTCACTCAACAATGTCCCGCATGTGGCAGGTTGGGCCGATGGTCCGATGACGATCTATGATAATCCATAGAACTAAATTGTATTTAGTTCTATGGATAATCTAACAACATTTCAATTAATTTAACGGCTAGTGTTAGCCTACAGAACTAGTAGTAGTGGTAGTCACATGATCTTTAATACTACCGCCACCGATACACTCATTCGTCCGGATTTGTTTTTGTTTTGTTTGTTTTTTGGCGTAGTGATTTATGGAGTGCCGGTACTCGCCATATCTCTAGACCTAGTCTTACATTAGTAACAATGAAATAATAAAACTTGTTGACAACAGATTTAAAAAGCATAAATCATGTGATTCAGACTTAGCTATAGTTGCCAGTCTACATTGTAATAGTGTAGGCCTGCTAGATATACTATATAGTTCCCTAGGCTTACTAAGTAATACAGTAATAGTAATACTAGGTCTACATCGCAACAAAGACTAATGAGCGCGTGTGATTCAGACTTTAGTATTGGCTACGTATGGAGTGTTTGTGTCTCAGCTTGTTCCTTTTATTCATATTTTTACGTAGATCGAGGCATTTGTTATCTAAGCTTCAACTACAGGGATACTTGCGAACTAAACTTATTAAAACCTTCAAAAAGTTTTATGGCCGTCATATTGACTGGATTGGTAAATATAACATGTCTCTCTCGGCTATTATTCTACTTCTAGATATATTTAATTGACGCATATCATATACTATCTCCCTGATTATTTAATGTCTGTCTACTTACATCGTTAACACTATATAGGAATGAGTTGTTAAAAATATGAATTTAACGCATCAAAGTTCCTTATACACTATTATGGAACTACAACATCAAAGCTCTGCGACATTGTTTTGTTTCAATCTTAATCCCCTAACTTTTGAACATGGCCGAATGGGTAACACGCGCGCTGTATCATACGGTCTGTCATTGAGTCAACTGGCGGGGTTTCGATTCCCCGGTTGTACGTGACAAGGAGTAGGGTTGCCTGTCCAACCTCGTGGGTTTTCGCCGGGTCCTCCCACTGCTAAAGACCCCTACGCGCAAGCGAATTATTGAAATAAAAACTGAACCATGTGTTAGTCCCGAAATGACCTAGTTTGTGTCGAGTGGACGTTAAACCCTATTTCTCTCTCCCTTTCTCACCCATAGGTCACTACGGATTCAGGATTTCCTGGTTAGCGAGCCACTTCCTAAAGTCTAACTTCCAAACCCGCCGTATTTGTTTTGACACGCAGGGTTTGGTAGCTCGCAGACACGCCGCCAGAAACCGGGTGTAAATTATATATGTACAGTGCCAAAAGTCTCTACGGCCGGTCTGCGATATTCTACGGTGACTAACACACTCAACTGACGTTATGTCTCACGCATGGGTTTTCTAAAACTAGGCCGGTTAGGGTTCGTACGACGGCTTGTGACCTAGCTTTACTCACTGATTCCTCCCACTGTTAAAGACACTACAGCACAAACAAATTATTGAAATACATTTAAACCATATGTTAGTCCCGAAATCATCTAGGTTGTGTCGAGTAGACGTGAAACCCCATTGTTCTTTCTCTCTCATCTAATGGTATAAAGAGATAAATATGCTAAATTCCAAGGTGATCCATTCAGATTTACTGCCTGTAGACGATAAACACAAAAAGGCGCGTGGCTCTGTCTCTGGGGTACGGTAGACATGATCCAATATAAATGTAATGAAATGGGGTTTAACGTCCTACTGTTCTGCTCTTACTGGGATAATGAAGACGGGCATACGCCATGCTGTGTGCTATGAGGGAAATTTTGTCCGGGCAGCGGCGCTATGGACTGCTCTTATCTTCAACTGTCAAGGGTTCTTTTACGTACACGCCAATGTGTACACGGGAACTCGGGTTTTCATCCCAACCAAATGACTATACGTTGTTCCACCCACCCTACATCACTGATAAGGGGGAATCATACCAGAAAACCCGATGAACACAGCGAGCCAACGTCCTACTCACTGAGCCACCACGGTCCACTGAATCAATATAAATAGATGACATTCTGTTGAAATGAAGGATCATGCTGAATTTGATCATAATCTGTTAATAATTACAACCTACAGATTATAGGGTTGGGCATGCACCAAAATAAAATGGGGTTTAACGTCCTACTGTTCTGCTCCTAACTGGGCATACGCCATACAGTGTGCTACGAGGGAAATTTTGCCCGTATAGCGGCACTACGTCCTACACTTATATCAAATTCCACCTGTCAAGGGATCTTTTACGTGCAAGCCAATGTGTACACGGGACCTCAGTTACTCTTATATCGAATTCCAACTGTCAAGGGATCTTTTACGTGCACGCCAATGTGTACACGGGACCTCGGTTTTTTGTGCCATCCGAACGACTAGACGGCTCTCCTTGTCAGGCCCCCCGTCCTGCATTACTGACAAGATGGATCTAACACCCGACCTCCAGGCTTGCAAGCCAGCGTCTTACCCACTTAGCTACCGTAGTCCCCGCATGCACCAAAAACAAAATGGGTCAACCCTAGGGTATAAGGAATGCAAACATTCAAGACGATCCGTTTAGAATGGCAACCTGTAGGCGAAACACACAAACACGCTCACCTATAGACAGGACCCCCCCCCCCCTACAGATAGACTTACAACACACCCACCTATAGACAGACACCACCTAGAGATAGCGGCGACACATAATTTTTTTCACGTTATGAATGCAGACGTATACAAATAAACACGAGTTTTTGTAAACAGTATTATTCATTAAAAATAATTATATACAAATAAAATATTGAAGACATTTTGAATAAATTAAACAATAAAATAAACAATAAATATATACACAGTTTTAGTCCTGTAGATATAGATACCCCCCCCCCCCCCCCACCTAGAGATAGCGGCGACGCATAATTTTTTTCACGTTATGAATGTAGACGTATACAAATAAACACGAGTTTTTGTAAACAGTATTATTCATTAAAAATAAATATATACAAATAAAATATTGAAGACATTTTGAATAAATTAAACAATAAATATATACACAGTTTTAGTCCTGTAGATAAAGTACAAATACGTCATCAGTAGTTTTAACTGTTGACTACAGACAGTATAATACGTCATCAGTAGTTTTAACTGTTGACTACAGACAGTGTAATACGTCATCGGTAGTTTTAACTGTAGACTAGAGACAGTGTGATACGTCAGCAGTAGTTTTAACTGTTGACTACAGACAGTATAATACGTCATCAGTAGTTGACTAGAGACAGTGTAATACGTCATCAGTAGTTTTAACTGTTGACTACAGACAGTGTAATACGTCATCAGTAGTTGTAACTGTTGACTACAGACAGTATAATACGTCATCAGTAGTTTTAACTGTTGACAAGAGACAATAAAACTGTAAATTGTATGATTAGAGACAATAACATTATGTTGACTAGTTTACATGAATTATTATGAATTATTCATTTGATCTGTGATATATTTGATCTTTTCATCTTGTTCAGTGTCTGACATCCTACAATAACCTAGAAGGGTTTTACCATATTTATTCTTGACATGTAGATCTAGATGTAAACAATCAACTAGATATTGTACTGAAGATAAAGTACCAAACCAACATGCCAAGTGTAAGATGGTATTATTATAACTGTCTCTAGCGTTAATATCAGCCTGATGCCTGACTAGATATTTTATTTTATCTACAGGACGTACACGTGATATACAACAGTAAAATAACGGTGTCTGGTTGTTATAACCTGTTGTATGAACATTCATGTGTAAATCATCAACAAGATACTCTACTGTAGATAAAGTACCATAGTTACATGCCAGGTGTAAGTTGGTATTATTATAACTGTCTCTAGCGTTAATATCAGCCTGATGCCTGACTAGATATTTTATTTTATCTACAGGACGTACACGTGATATACAACAGTAAAATAACGGTGTCTGGTTGTTATAACCTGTTGTATGAACATTCATGTGTAAATCATCAACAAGATACTCTACTGTAGATAAAGTACCATAGTTACATGCCAGGTGTAAGTTGGTATTATTAATACTGGTTAAAGCGTTAATATCAGCCTGATGACTGACTAGATATTGTATTTTATCTACAGGACTTACACTTGATGCACAACAGTAAATTAACGGTGTCTGGTTCCGAAAACCTGTTGTATTAACATCCATGTGTAAATCATCAACAAGATGTCGTACTGTAGATAAAGTACCGAACTCACATGCCCTGTGTAAGATGGTATTATTAAACCCGTCTCTAGCGTTAATATCAGCCTGATGACTGACTAGAAATTGTATTTTATCTACAGGACTTACACGTGATATACAACAGTAAAATAACGCTGTCTGGCCCCCCCAGCCTCTGAAGTTAACATCTATGTTCACCATGTTTTTTATATCATCAAAAGTACCATGTTGACAGGCATCAAATAATTGTTGTTGTAGTTGACTTGTATCTGTAATATATAACATGTTATACTATATTTACAGTTTATCAAGTCATATTTAATATTGTTTCAGGTAAGTCAGTCCTTGTTGTATATTATATTATATATTAGAATAACTTACCTTTCATATCTGAGGTATCACTTGTATTACCAGACAAAGTATAATCTAAGGTACCACTTGTATTACCAGACAAAGTACCATCTGAGGTATCACTTGTATTACCAGACAAAGTATCATCTAAGGTACCACTTGTATTACCAGACAAAGTACCATCTGAGGTATTACTTGTATTACCAGACAAATTACCATGTAATAATTGTGGTTGAATGGTATCTGTAATATATAAGTCATATTTAATATTTTTCATCTAACTAGAATAACTATAAAGTTTATTATACGTCTTCTGACTTCAATGACGATAAGTATATGACGTATTAACTTGTGACTATGAGTGTATGACGTAATAACTTGTGACGTAATGTGTGTATGATAAATTATTTACAATTCAATACTATTACCTGTATGATATAATATAATACACAATTACACAAGACAAACCCACGGATATAACACAATATACACAGACAATGAAATGAAATGGGCTTTAACGTCCTACTACTCTGCTCCGACAAAACTAATTATAGACGGACATACGCCATACATTACAATATGCAGGACATTTTGACATGCCAGCGGTATTACGGCCTACTGTTATATTGGATTTCAACTGCAAGAGGATCTTTTACGTTCAAACCAATTATACATTTCCCCTTGCCAGGAGCTAGGGTCCATGCCTTCCGTCCTACATCAGGGATCAAACATGGGACCTCCCTGTCTTACTCACTGAGCCACCGTGGCTCCAATATACATAGACATTTCCATAATGTGAATGGACCCGGGTGCTAGCTATAAGCGTGTAATACCCTACACTGATATAGGCTTCACTCAAAATCAAATTAAGAATAATGGAAACAATCCAAGAAAAAAGGGAATATTTTAGGAACGTTGTATCATACTGGTGTCAGTCATGATCGGCCATGTGCTACATAAAATCTCAATGTCAGCATATTGAGCAAGAAACAGTACTGAATTAAAATACATGGAAGGCGAAGCCACCGAACACAAGCAACCAGTCTTGACGGCGGTCGTCTGCTAAATGACGTTACACAAATGTTGTCGTCTGCCGATTGACGTCATAAGTTAAAAGGTCAAAAGGGCTAACAATCATAAGGGAGATAATCCAGTTATAGTAAGATAATTATGGATGCAGACCACAAAGTGTTGATAATTGGGTCTGAATTAACATTTTCTGCCAGGTTTTCTTAAATATTCACGATTTAGAGGCGGACGGATAACATAGTTAACAGTTTGGTTACGATGATACGCACGATGTGTACCATAAAAAAAAATTGGTGGTCAACGCCATAAAAAAAAATATTTCTCTGTCTGTAGTGAAAAGCATTCAGCCCAACAAAAATTTGGGGAAAAGTTGCAGCCGGGCAAATGGAGATTCTCTATATATCTATGATGTAATCTTTATGATCTAAAGATAGGTTGCCAATTAACGATACATACGCCCGCAGCAGCAAAATCGTCCGTCAGTCGACAAAGGTTGTAGCATATTTATTCTGTTGTAGGTAACAGGAGTATTTACTGACACCAATTTAATACAGATCGAATGTCAGCGTTTTTCGTTAGAACGTTCACAAGGTTCAACAGGGTGAAACAAGAGTCATAACTTGAATTGAGTGGCATTCATATGAAATGTCATTTATTACATATAAACGTAAAAAGTCGATTTACATTTATCGAGCTTCAGAGAGCTCGACTGTGTTTCGTTTCTTAAATATGGCAAGGTTTGAAGGCGTTTGGGAAAGCGGACAATGAAAAATTTATGAAACATTTTCTTTTTATATTGCTGGAACAGTAATAGGTTATTCTATCATCCTGTAAGATGTGGTGAAAATATATTCTAGAAAATTTTATTCTGTGTTGTTTTTCGCCACAAGAGTTCCACAAAATGTCTTCTCAGACCCCGTATATGCCTGTGTGGTACCCCAATCTGCACGATTGTCGATCTGTGGTGTTTTTCTCGACAAGAGTTCCACAAGACATTGGACTTAAAAAAACTAACTTCAAATATAAATATATATATATATAGAAATGAGTTGTTAAAAATAAATCATGGCTTGCTGCCCGCGGTAGTATAAATATTTTCTGAAATCTACAATGAAATAATAATAATAATAATAAAAGGATTCTTGTATAGCGCTAAACTCCAAACAATTCTAAATTACTTTAGAGTTTATTTTTAATATTTAGAAAACAGGAATGTCTTTAATTTAGATTTAAATATTGAAAATGTTGGAGCAGATCTTAAAGCTAACCGGAGGGCATTCCACTTCGAACCCGCTGAAACTTCAAATGATTTAAAACCAAATTTTTTCAGTTTCCATTTTGGTACTGTAATATAATGTTGAGATTGAGATCGCAGAGGTCATATTGACTGGTAGGGATTAACAAGTTCCTTTAAATACGAAGGAGCATTTTCATGAAGGCACTGATACACAACTGTTAAAATTTTGAATTCTATCCTTTTACTTATGCGTAACCAATGCAGAGAATTTAGTACTGGAGATATACTAGAACGTTTTGATGATTTAAAAACTAATCTGGCTGCAGAATTTTGTATCTTCTGTAGTTTTTGTAATAATTCAGATGAAATGCCAGTAAGGAGACTGTTACAGTAATCTAATTTTGATAAAAATTAATGATCGAACAAGGGTAGCTGTGGATTCTGTCGTTAACATGTGACGGATGCTGCTGATGTTCCTAAGATGGTAGTAGCATATCTTGGTTAGATGGTTTACATGACTGGACATACTGTTGTTAGAGTCCAAGTACACACCAAGATTTTTTACTTTATCACAGAACGCAATCTGTACTTCACCAACTTGAACGTGATCCACTAACATCTTGGAAATTCGTGATGTTGGACCGATGAGAATGGCCTTCGTCTAATCATCGTTCAGTTTTAATTTATTGCATGACATCCAGGATTTAACATCAGCAACGCATGCTTGAATATTATTCAGGCTTTGATAATGTGAAAGTACAGGCAAGCTCTCAATTAGCTGGGTGTCATCAGCATATAAATGGTGTGACAGCTGAAAACCATTTATAATCTGGCATCAGACTTTATTATATGGTTAAAATAAGTCATTATAATCTCACTTAACTTTAAGGTACCTCAAATAGGTCACTTAAAGTTAAGTGGATTTTTCTCAATTAAACTGGTCTTTGAGTACCACTAACACTTAAAAGTTAAGGCAGCTTAACTTTAAGTGAAATTTTGATACTTTTAAGTATAATGTTAAAACATTGCCTTTGAATACCACTTACCCTTAACAGGAAGTTACGTATATGTATTCAGTGAAGTCTAGTAGTTAAGTGACTGACATCCCAGATGTTGATTTAGAACAACATCTACAACCGATATTTTATTTTAATACAGCATTAAGGCATGCCAGGTTATTGACATTTTATTTTAATCAGATTTGAGAATATCAAGAATACAATTAATCGGCATAATAAATTATTTATTTCAGGAAGACAAAAAGGTCAGATGCCTGAAAGCGATTATGTGAAGGTGCGAGCTAATTACTCTTATCTGTGTGATCATATCAAAGAACCAGTAAAACTTGCCACTAAATTATTTGAAAAAAACTTATTCGGCCCAGATCAAAAGGAAGAAATACAGAAAATCTTCCAGAACTCTGAAAATGGTCGCGGGGCAGCTGCTGACAAGCTACTGATGTATGTCTTATCAAACTGTGTTGATGCCTATGGTAAATTCATCCAATGTTTACGAGAACTAGGTTACAGAGAAATCGTAAATGTATTAGAAAACACCACGAATGGTAAGTTTATTTCTATTTTAAACAAGAACAACACACTATATATATACTATTCAAAAAAAGTAGGGGATATTTGATTTTGGGGGCATAATACTAAAATATGCAAATGACTACGAAAAAAGTCACTATAGAACCTAACAGAAGAAACATTTCCAGTTACATATGACGCCCAAACGCACCAATAGCTACCGCATGGAATGCAGGTGATGCTTGGGATCATCATGGGGGTCCAACCCCAGATTTGCACGACTCTGACTTTGAATGTTACAGTCATTGTGGCATTGAATTCCAGGGTGGAAACATCAGTTTAATTGTTTTAGTGACCAGAAAACAAATTTTGATATGCGTCGGCTTACCCAAAATGAAAGGTTACGTGCCCTTGGCATGCTACAGATCGGCACAACACAGGCGGTTGTGGCGCGGACGATGAATGTTTCTCAGTCTGTCATAAGCAGGCTATGGTCCAGATACCGTGATACACAATCTGTACAGGACAGACCACGCTCAGGTCGACCAAGGGCGACAACTCAAGCCGAGGATCGATTTATCCGTACCTTGGCCTTGAGAAATCGTGTCATCACAGCAAATCAGATCAGCGCTCGTCTTCAAACAGACACTGGTGTGAGAGTGAGTGGCCAGAGGATTCGGAATCGACTGCATAGGGGTCACCTTCGCGCCCGACGTCCTCGCGTGATCCCTTGTTTGAGAGATCATCACATTCAGGCAAGACGTCGTTGGTGTAGGGATCGTCAACACTGGGATAATCGACGCTGGAGCAATGTGATGTTTTCAGATGAGTCAAGGTTCACTGTTGATTTTTTGGACAGACGTAGGAGGGTGTGGCGTCGTCGAAACGAGCGCTTCCAAGACTTTAACGTCATCAGACATGATCGATTTGGGGGTGGTTCTGTTATGGTGTGGGGAGGCATCACTGTTGCTGGAAGAACGGCTTTACATGTTGTTGCAGGGCGTGTTACAGGCCAGTACTACCGGGACAACATCTTGGCAGTCCATGTTGTGCCGTTCGCACGACGTCATGGCCGCCGTTTCATCTTCCAGGATGACAACGCAAGATGTCACAGGGCCAGGATCGTTACAGGTTACCTCCAACAACAGAACATCACCACATTACCTTGGCCAGCACTGAGTCTCGACCTCTCCCCCATCGAGCATGTCTGGGACATGCTTGGACAGAGGTTACGTCAACGTCAACAACGTCCTGCCAATGTCCAAGAACTTGCTGCTGCGTTGCAATAAGAATGGGACAATCTGGACCAAAATGACCTTAGACGTCTGTGCCTTATTTAGTCTAACGATCATTTGGATTAATTTGATGAATGTGAACTTCATTTCATTTTGTCATTTGTTTCTTCGTCAGTTTCATTAGGTGACTTTAATAACACTTAAAAATCAAATATCCCCTACTTTTTTTGAATAGTATATAAACATTGACAACTTATAAAAATATAAAAAAATACAAACGTACCGGTTCTGTTCGTATTTGTTTAAATGAATCCGATTTTTGCGAGAAATGAACTTTATTACTTCCATGATTAAAGATCGTTAGTTACTACCATTTCTATACACACACATGGAATTTTGGTCGTATATTTCTGCCGCGTCCGTCCGTTGTCACAATTTCTTGTAAACACTCTACAGACTACATTTATTATCTGATAGTTTTTCAAATTTATATTGGCATTAGTGTGACGAATAGCCAACTTAAATTCAAAGATTTCCGTTAATTCTAGAGTTATAGTTTCACTTTGTAGAAACATATGAACGCGCTAACAAGTTAAATTATGTCCCGATCTGTATTGAATTTACATGCATTATTTAAATTAGTACAACGAAGAAGCCTGGAGTCACATTTTTGTCTTTTCGAATAAAACACTAAACAAACTTTGAAACCTGACGGACATCAATGCCTGACACGAACAGAACAACGAGTGGGTTTAATTATAACTTTTAAATGATGTTTAAATGATACGAACCATAATTACCAGTACAACTGAATTCAACTTTTTAGTCAAATTGACGTCAAATAAAGGGTACGATTTAGATCGATCTCGACCGGGAGGTCATTTCAGAATGGCCCTGGTTCGATGTGACTCGAATCGTTTTGACCTGAAATTCATTGTTCCACATAAAGTTTATACCATTTGCTACCAGATGGTGACATTAACTGAGTTTCATGAAAAAAGTGATTTAGATCGTTCTTTCCCTGGGCTATTCAGTTTTAAAAGGTTGAGACAATTTCTTAAAATTAATAATAACATTATTATCTTCCAAAATCGCCCATACCCGAAGACAACCAAGATATCACCACAGTTTGGGAAATTGTTCTATTTATAGAGATGATGCAAAATGCAAAGTCCAAAACAAGGGGAAGTAATTATCGGGATTGGCCCTTAAAAACAAAAACTATGACTAAGTATAGGAAAGAATTATAATGCAAAAGAAGTAACCGGTCTTGTTGAACCGACCAATTTTATTTAAAATAATCACATTTGGTTTATATCCGAAAAGAGATTCAGGAGATGCTCTTGAAATTTGGGCAGGTAAAGAACAAGATATAAGCCCTTTGGACCGATTAGAGACAATATTATGTGGCATCATTGTGAACCTGAAAGTAAAGCTGGTAGAGTATTAATATTCCACTTACCCTGGTATCTCCACATCTTGATAATGAATTTTGTATAATTTCTATACTCGACCTAGATAGGTATCTCACTTCACCTGGTCTTTTATCTGAGAAAACAAGAATAAGTTAAAATTAGATTTTATTTCTTTTCGATTGTCTTTCTATAAACTGACCTGTATATTCCGGGATTACTGAGGTAGAGACCTGCTGTATTATACATATGCTTGGTTATTTATGGAATCCCTGCAATCGTCAAAAAGCATGAATTTCAAGTACTGTCACCTTAAAGGAAATGAAATGGGGCTTAACGTCCTACTGTTCTGCTCCGAACTGGGCTAATAAAGACGGGCATATGCCATGCACTGTACTATGAGGGAAATTTTGCCCGGGCAGCGGCACTATGGCCTGCTCTTATATCGAATTCCAACTGCCAAGGGATCTTTTACGTGCACGCCGATGTGTACAAGGGACCCCGGTTTTTTCGTCCCATCCGAACGACTACAAGCTGTCCTTGTTAGGCCCTCCGCCCTGCATCAATGACAAGGGGAAGCCACGCCGGAAAATCCTGATGAACTTTCTTGACTAATGCGGGATCGAACACGCGACCTCTAGGCTAGCGAGCCAGCGTCTTACCCACTTAGCCACCGTGCCCACCTCACCCCTTATAAAGGAGCTAAGTCTCTAACTCAATATTTTCCATAATATTCGAAATTAAAAACACAAATTAGAATTCAATATCGGTCTACTTCAAGCCATACTGATGTTGTTATGTTGCCGTGAAAATGTGGTATGCTAATATCCAATATTTCAGATACAATGTACCCTATCGTTTCGGGTGTAAAGAAATGAAAGAAGAAAAACATAACTTAAATTACAATGCAGGAGAAAATAGTAATGACTGATTCACAAATGATAAAATAATAATAAAAAAACCCTTGTTCATTTTGGACTGTTCACGTATTTCGCTGAACATATATACACTCATATTACATAAATATGTGCTTTTAGACCCATTTATGGTTCCAAAACACACACCCTTTAAAAGCATCACTACTCAAAGGGGATACCTGATTTATGCTCAATCCCAAAAGTAGGCCGGTCTACTTACAATCGAGTGAAAATGGGGATTTGGGGCTACAACGCATGCACCGACTACAAAATATCCCAACCAACCATGATAGCTGAGACACATTCGTTGTGTTTAATTACGTCACAATTCTACTCGCACCATCTGGGTTGTCCAGACTGACAGAAATGTGATTGCAATTCATTTGATTGCGTCATTCGATTGCAATGCTCGGAATGTGGATCGTTCCGGACTCCCAATCGAACATCCCCTATTACAATCTTAGTTGTAACTGTCAGGAAAATGTCGAAATATTATATTGTAACACATGATATGACTATAAATGATAGTACGCATCCTTTGTTACAGATATTAAATATACAAATATGACATACCTCAAATACTGGCGTAATGCAATTTTTCAACTTAAAATTAAGAATACCCTATGAGGTTTACTATTATACACAAATATGTAAATGCGGATGTCCCAGATTTTTTTTCTTAGAATCGTTTAATGTTTTTCTTTATATCTTTTGAGCCCCCCCCCCACCCTCGTATTTTTGGATAGACCGAGAGATTCGATATTTAGGTTTAGAAAATATGAAGGTTACCCTCAAATCGTGACGTTCCTATCGTGATCAATTTTTGGCTATTGGCGTCTCGTATAATATGATCTGGCTAGGATTCATACCAAAATTGAAGTTTGAAATTTATGTTCTAATTCACAAAATGTTTAATATAACTCAGAATGCATCAAATCAAATCGAATCTATTTTTCAGAATTTTCCTAATCCTACGCTTTCCGTCACAACACACTTCAAGGTGTATTCATGGGCCAGATTGAAGTAGAAAAGTTGCTTGATAAACAAGGCCGTAGTTAAAATACCAGCCGATAAGAAGCTCAATATTTATAGAGTTATTACGAAAGAGTTCCGAATATATAAAGATATGAAGTATTTCCATACTATCTAAAGATAGAAAATAATAATAGAGTTATTACGAAATATTTCCTACTGTATGAGGATATAAAATAAATATATAAAATAATATCATATCTACCTGACGGTGTTTAATTGTTCTTGTATTTGATGCAATGACCAACTCTAGATGGATAGCTTTTTAAGGTCTGCTGTCTGGATACTTTCTGACGCTCGTCTCGGGGTATACCGCTAGATATATGCGCGTTTGTTTACTGACGCCTCTAACACAATTTCAAACATTCATTTTAATAATAAAGAATAAGGCGTGATTTAAACGTTGTCCGTATGATTGGTAGATGGTGACTAATGCTACTATAAATAAGGCGTGGTTTAAACGTTGTCCTGTATGATTGGTAGATAATGACTAATGCTACTATATATACATCTCCACCATTTATATAATGTAAACTAACTTATAGACATTGAAACCTGTTATGTTGGTTAACACCCAACACGTAATTGGTTATTTGATGTATAGCCTCTATGTACAACAACCTACAGGTCCACAGGTCTAATATTAATAACATTTGTTTTCTGTTCATCACGTGCATTATAGTCCATTGGCCAATCACGCTATTTTACCGAGATTTCGTCCTAATAGTTTGGATGCAGCTATGGCGGATGTGGCGCCAGGCAGGGTAAGCTTACTCTTCCGGACACCTGTTACCACTGTTTGTCGTGTATTTTGTACACGGTGAACAGTCCATATGCTGATTACACTATTTTGCCTATACCGTTTTTTTAGGACTTTGAATTTTGTCTAATGGTTTTGATTGTTCGTACTTGGTTTTATTTTATTAGCATAATGATAGATAATAGGCCTACTTGTCATTCAATTCTACATTTACAAGGCCTACTGGATATAACACCAACAACAGATACGCCCTTAAAATTATATTATAACGTATAATGGCAGACGTACATACACGAACAGTACTAGACCTACAAGAAATAAATCATAACGTATAATGACAGACGTACATACACGAACAGTAACTAGGCCTACAAATGAACTGAAATGGCCCATGGATGGGCGTAAATCTTAACGTAACGTCCTAATTTTCGACAGGCAGCGGTACAATGCCACTAATATAATTAAGACGGGCATATACGCTATGCCGTGTGTGACATGAATATGATGATTTTGGGAAAGCCTGCCCAGGCAGCGACAGATGATAGGACCCGCCGGGCCTTCAATTTCCAACAGCTAACGGAACTCTAGATAATTTATCTATAATGGTAGGCCATTGGAAAAGCTTTTCTTGTCTGGCCCTCGTCATGTGTACACAGGAGCTCATTTTTACGTCAGTGGGCCTACCTTGCTAGGCCTTTCTCGGCTTACACCGGCATCGACCCCGTAACTTGCATTCGTGCGTCTGTGGGGGGGGGGGGCATTTGATAGATCGGGACATAACACCATAATATACACGGTCCATGGTAACACCACTGACAAGTTTAATAAATAAATACATCCATCTTAATACGTTATTTTATTCACAGAATGAAAAATAAATACAACCCCCATCTACATACAAATCCACTGTGGACAGATGATTTCTACACGTTGCCTGAAGTCACAGAAAACTTGCGTGAAAATTCACCTGTGCCTGATTCTACTCCAGATATGCCATCAGGTACGTTACTTATTATTATTTGAGTAGCAGAACAAAGTGTAAGAATTACCAAGTGGAATTACAGGCACCTAAGTAAAAATGTATAGAGGATATTTGTCATTTAGAGTGAATAACATATTTTATTTCATCGAGAAGCAAGAAAACTTATATTTTCACGAATGCGTAGCATGAGTGAAAATATAAACGTTTTCTTGCTTAGAGATGAAATAATATATGTTATTCACGACAAAACGACAAATGTTCTATTTATTTTATGATTTTACAATCATTTTAGGTAAAAACAACTAGCCAGTGGAATAACACTTTTATTTCACTGATAATACGCGGTATTCCACTACTGATTATAAAATAAAAATAGATATTTGAAAATCCCCGTGGATGGATAACATATGCAGACTCATAATTATGGAGACCACCATATTGAATTAGTAATGTCGCGTAGCCGAATTTGAATATGATATGTTATCTGGTATATATATATAGGTCTATGATTAAACCGAACTGCACTAGTTTCTTTTGCAATTTGTTCGAGGTCACTCCACTTTGCAGATTAACTTCTCCCGCGGGCAGTAGTCCATCTTTGTTTTTGTCCTTTCCTCTTTCAATGGCTCTAAGTGAAAACCCAACCTATTATAATAATCTTTCAGTGGTAGAATCTGAGTGCAGAGAATCAAGCCTTGATGATTCTGGTGTCGATGTGACTGATGATACCGCTGGTAAGTATTGTATTGATTTTAATATAGGTTTTCTCGATTCATTGAGGTGTCAAACAAGTTAATTTAAATTGCACTCTTTGAATGGATGTCCCCATGAATTGTAATGGATACCCGGGGCCGAGGCAATCTATGTCCCCCGCCCTCTCAGCAAGCCATATCCATGCAATGCCTCTACGTCGGTAAGTTTTCAGTGGTAAATACTTTCTGTTGTTTTTTTAAAATATTTTATAGAACCATATATTTTGTGTGTTTTATTGAATTATGTTTAGATGTGGTATATATTTTGTGGTTATTTGTGTGTTTTATTATTTTATAGAACCAGGGTTAGATATAAAATATATATATTATTTGTGTGTTTATTGTTTTATAGAACCATGTTTAGACGATGTAAGTGAAGAGATTCAACTTTACGTCCAGAAACTTAAAAACGATAATTTAGATCTATTCATCACCAACGGACGGATTAATGAACAAATTATGTTTCAATTAAGGTGAGTTTATCCATCAGTAATCCGGGTCACCAGATAATGACTCGGGGGGGGGGGGGTATGTCAGCTAGGGGGAGACAAATCAAGCGAATAGATTCGAGCGTCGGCAAGGGTTCACAAATCGAGTGAATGGATCATGGAGTGGGACAGGTAGTGGGAGTCAAATCAAGTGAATGGATCATGTTGGACCAACAAGGACTAACCATTACAATAAATGTAAATGATGAACCTATCTATGAGGATACCAGGTCTGGTCTCATTGTGGATTATCTCCAGAAATATTAGACGTAATTACCGTATAATTAAATATATGTACCACTTGTCACTTACTAATGACTGTTTTTATTGTAGATTCACTGATGATCTTCAATTACGATATGATGAAAGTGTTGATATGACTGTCAGTTTAAGAGAGAGAATACATGAGTTAGAATCTCGGGAAGAAAAATATAAACAAAGCTCCAACCCCGAAGCTGTATTAGGGTGTGTATATCGTTATATCTTGTGTTCTTGGGGGGCCTGCTGACTGAGAGGGTTCCACGGAATTTTCCAGCTGGACCCCACTTGTCACTGGTGCAGGACGGAGGACCTGACACGGGGCAGCATAAAGTTGTTCGAATGAGACGAAAAACCGAGGTCCTGTGTACCAATTGGCGTGCACGTCAAAGCGTTAAATATCCCTTGGCAGTTGAATTATGATATAAGATTAGACCCACAGTGGGACCATCAGATGAATGGATTTGAACACCGCGGTAATATTATAATTTAACATAAAATGGACAATTGAGATTTTGTATTTTATCCTAACAATAGTAGCCCTCTCAACTCTCTAGTTCATCGGAGGAACGTGTTATTGAATGGATTAGAACACATGTACATCTAAATCTTACATAATACATTTTTAACCTTAAGTTTATTTTTAGTCATCTTTAACTATAAGTTTATTTTTAATCTTGTATTATTAATTCAGATGCTTTGAAGAGTTAAAAAACAAAAATGAAGAATGCTGTAGACTCAAGGCGGACCTAAAACAAGCAACTGATGATATGAAACTGTGGCGAGTCCGGGCTAATATTTTGGATATTGACAATGATTTCTATAAAAAGAAGATTGAGGATTTGAGGGAAAGTATGATCGAAATTTCCCGGGAAAATTTAGTACAGAAGCAGGCCACAATTTTAAAGCCGGTTGAGAATCTGGAATCTAACAGTCAAGCCCAAGATAAAGGATCTAAACCTAAGGATATTTTAATGGAACCACGTTCAAAACCAAGATCCGAATCAGGAACACCAATCGCCAAGGTCTCCACCGTAACAGAAGACTCCAGGGATGAGAGCAAGAGAGATACTGATTCCGGTGTATCCCTTGATGAAAAGACTCAGAGGACAAGCATGGTGCAACAGACAATAAAGGGTGATAGAGAAGCTGAACAGAAAGTACCAATGCTGAAGCACAAGCAGGTAAAATCCGCTGGCCTACCAACAAGCGACTTTCATCCGATTTTGTTGAAACTTGAAATATAAGTTTATAACCCAAAGATCTCGGTTCTTTTCGATATTTGCGCATATCGGATCGGAACTTCGTGAATTATGGATCCTGATTGTACGAAAAATCGCTTTTTGTTTAGCTTGTTCTCTATCCATCGTTTGCAAAATGTGGGCGTATCCTGCCTGGCAGCCGCTGGTTATATAATTTGTCATTTTGCTGGATACAGAGTGTATTACAACTTGTATAGGTAATACTGTTATACATATTTTAAATATGTCATATTAAAATAACAAGAAAAATGATGAGGAGTATCATAGTTTTTATTGTCTGTATATAAATATATATATGTATTTACCTCTGCAATAGTTTATAATTTATGAGATTAGGGTACAGAATATCTTACAATTTGTATGTAATACTCTTATACATCATTTACATACGATGTTTTGTCTTGTATAACTTAATGAGCAGTCTGTAATTGTTTGAATATTTATATTTATACCTCTGCAATATTTAATACTTGAAGTGGTATGGATAGAATATTTTATATATACATTTCTAAAAAAAAAAAATTGGCCTCAATTGCCTGTTTGTATTTATGTATGTGTGTGTACCTTTACTCATGACTTGTTGGGATATAAGATTCAAATAATATTGTTATTGTTATAAATAAAATAATAATAACTAATCGCAGTCTTTTGTCTATTTACCCTTCGATTTTAATGATGTGTATGTTATCATCACTGTCTGTCTGTCTTCCCTTCTATTCAGATGATGTGTATTTTGTCATCATTTTCGGTCTATCTTCATCTTTAGTTGATGTGTATGTTGTCATCACTTTCGGTAACCTTTCTATAGGTGAAGTGTATGCGTATGTTGCCATCACTGTCTGTCACTGAAGCAATTGTATAAAGAGTGAAAAGCCAAACGGGGAGGGGGATTGTCTGCGATATCACCTCGGTGGAAGAGGACGTAAAAAACAACTAACTCACACACACACCTGGGGAGGGGGATGGGGTTCAGATTCTGGTCATAGTCCGCCACAACCACACAATTTGTACATCAGAATAGATATAATTATATTTATTTATGGTTCAAATAAAATAAAATTCGCCTATTCAACGGCAAGCTTTCTCTTATTAGAACCGAAAACTTTAGAGGCCAATAGCTGGTTCAAACCAAATTAGGGAGGGGGGGGGGCATCAAAAGGCCTATCATCGAATCAAGTGGCGCGTTTTCGAGCTCACACTTGTACATGACTAGGATCACAGATTATCGTATTCTAATCAAAAATTGTAATTAGTTTTCTATTTTAGATTGAATGCAGCCGTTGTACAGTCATAGTTCGTCCGGTTATGGTTTTAATATTTTGCTCGTCCTTTTTCTATAGTCAGCGAGAACTTATCTCAATGAAAATATTAAAGCCAAAGAAAATAACAAAATATATTAGATACGCCTGACGGCGGCATTATGTTACACTAGTAAATTCAATTTGAACAGACCAGTTTCTTAAATAAAATAGCCAATCCTTTGCTAAAACGTTGACATAGTAATTTTATTATGTAGGCCTAACAATACTAATAATACTATAGGCCTTGTGGGGTTCGGTTGGGCTCGTACAAAATTGGCCACGCTTAGTAGACCAGCACTTTTATTTTTAGAGCGGGTTACATTTATTATTCATATTCCATTATTTCAAATTAATTATATTACCTGTTTTGGTGAAAGTAGTCAATTCCTCTATAAAATTTATAGCCATTGTCGTTTAGTAAATGTTCAATTATATACAGGCGTAGTTATCTCCCTTCTCACTATGCTATGACGTCACGTCATTGTTATGCCTGCATTTCAATGTGGTGGATGTGTTAATCATAATTTCTCAAATTTAGGAGCTTTTTTACAGAAAATTCTTTTATTTGTGAAGGTAAGTTGGGCGCTATTGCACTTTCGTACCTCTACCAGTTCCCGTGGTCATAGGCACTTGAAATTTTCAGAGGATGTTAAGGGGGGCTAGCAATGACCACACACCAAATTTCAGCCAAATCGATAAATAACTTTTTATTTTACCGACCTTTTAATTTCTAACGAGAGAGAACTTCATCCGTTTGACGCCATTTGCTTTGTTTACTAATTAGACTTGAATAACAAGACACTAAGACGGAAACCGACTCGAATAACAAGACACTTAGACGGAAACCGACACACTGCACTAGCTGCCTAACACTGCAGTTCATAAAAATTAATATAATTTTCGTATACTTTAATTTTTGCGCGAAGCCACCATTTTCTATAAAATACTATTTGGTGTTGATCAGTGGATTGGCCTTTAGGTGTAAATATTGCCGTGACCTTGATTTTGACCTTGAGGCCAAACTTCCCATCCATATCGGGGCCTTTGCGTTTATGCTTGCCGTGGCCTTATTTCTTACTGTATTATCAAAGTTAATGTTCGAGGTGAAAGCAGAGACGACGTCCTTCAGAAAAGATAATTGGGTCAAAGTCGTAGGTCAAGGTCATGTTACAGAAAACTAAACTCAAATTTTTCAAAGTCATTTTTGGGACATTTGACCTTGACTTACGACCTTGACCCCGTAACCATTTTCGAAGGTTATCACATTGGCTTGAATCATGAACGTTTAACTTGGTCCTGTCGCACACTGCTCGGTCAGAAAACGGTCAAACGCAGAGGGTCCGTGTCCGAAAGGAAGTCAATGGGCGTGGTCAATGTGAAAGGTCGTGGTGACCTCCACTAGTCACCGTTAACCATCCGTAACCTTGACTCTGACCTTGAGTCCAAACGTCCCATCCATCTCGGGCCCTTTGCGTTTATGCTTGCCGTGGCCTTATTTCTAACTGTATTATCAAAGTTAATGTTCGAGGTGAAAGCAGAGACGACGTCCTTCAGAAAAGATACTTGGGTCAAAGTCGTAGGTCAAGGTCATCTTACAGAAAACTAAACTCGGACTTTTCAAAGTCAGTTTTGGGACATTTGAGCTTGACTTACGACCTTGACCTCGTAACCATTTTCGAAGGCTATCACCTTGGCTTGAACCATCGACGTTTACTTTGGTCCTGTCGCACACTTTTCGGTCAGAAAAGGGTCAAACGCAAAGGGCCCGTGTCCGAAATGAAGTCAATGGGCGTGGTCAATGTGAAAGGTCGCGGTGACCTCCACTAGTCACCTTTAACCATCCGTGACCTTGACTTTGACCTTGAGTCCAAACTTCCCATCCATCTCCGGCCCTTTTCGTTTATGCTTGCCGTAACCCTATTGCTTACTGTATTATCAAAGTTAATGCTTGAGGTGAAAGCAGAGACAACGTCCTTCAGAAAAGATAAAAAGGTCAAAGTCGTAGGTCAAGGTCATGTTACAGAAAACTAAACTCAAACTTTTCAAAGTCAGTTTTGGGACATTTCACCTTGACTTACGACCTTGACCCCGTAACCATTTTCGAAGGCTATCAACTTGGCTTGAATCATGGGTGTGTACCTTGGTCCTGTCGCACACTGCTCGGTCAGAAAACGGTCAAACGCAGAGGGGCCCGTGCCCGAAAGGAAGTCAATGGGCGTGGTCAATGTGAAAGTTCGTGGTGACCTCCACTAGTCACCTTTAACCATCCGTGACCTCGACTTCGACCTTGAGTCCAAACTTCCCATCCATCTCGGGCCCTTTTCGTTTATGCTTGCCGTGACCCTATTTCTTACTGTATTATCAAAGTTAATGCTTGAGGTGAAAGCAGAGACAAAGTCCTTCAGAAAAGATAAAAAGGTCAAAGTCGTAGGTCAAGGTCATGTTACAGAAAACTAAACTCAAACTTTTCAAAGTCAGTTTTGGGACATTTCACCTTGACTTACGACCTTGACCCCGTAACCATTTTCGAAGGCTATCAACTTGGCTTGAATCATGGGTGTGTACCTTGGTCCTGTCGCACACTGCTCGGTCAGAAAACGGTCAAACGCAGAGGGGCCCGTGCCCGAAAGGAAGTCAATGGGCGTGGTCAATGTGAAAGTTTGTGGTGACCTCCACTAGTCACCTTTAACCATCCGTGAACTCGACTTCGACCTTGAGTCCAAACTTCCCATCCATCTCGGGCCCTTTTCGTTTATGCTTGCCGTGACCCTATTTCTTACTGTATTATCAAAGTTAATGCTTGAGGTGAAAGCAGAGACAAAGTCCTTCAGAAAAGATAATTGGGTCAAAGTCGTAGGTCAAGGTCATGTTACAGAAAACTGAACTCAAACTTTTCAAAGTCAGTTTTGGGACATTTGACCATGACTTACGACATTGATCCCATAACAATTTACAAAACCCATAATCTTGGCTTGAACCATCGACGTTTACCCTGGCCCTGTCGCACACTGCTCGGTCAGAAAACGGTCAAACGCAGAGGGGCCCGTGTCCGAAAGGAAGTCAAAGGGCGTGGTCAATGTGAAAGTTCGTGGTGACCTCCACTAGTCACCTTTAACCATCCGTGACCTTGACTTCGACCTTGAGTCCAAACTTCCCATCCATCTCGGGCCCTTTTCGTTTATGCTTGCCGTGACCCTATTTCTTACTGTATTATCAAAGTTAATGCTTGAGGTGAAAGCAGAGACAAAGTCCTTCAGAAAAGATAAAAAGGTCATGTTATAGAAAACTGAACTCAAACTTTTCAAGGTCAGTTTTGGGACATTTGACCTTGACTTACGAGCTTGACCCGTAACCAGTTTCAAAGCCCATCATCTTGGCTTGAACCGACGACGTTAACCCTGGCCCTGTCCCAAAAATGACTTTGAAAAGTTTGAGTTTAGTTTTCTGTAACATGACCTTGACCTACGACTTTGACCCAATTATCTTTTCTGAATGACGCCGTCTCTGCTTTCACCTCGAACATTAACTTTGATAATACAGTAAGAAATAAGGTCACGGCACGCATAAACGCAAAGGGCCCGAGATGGATGGGAAGTTCGGACTCTAGGTCTGGGTCAAGGTCACGGATGGTTAACGGTGACTAGTGGAGGTCACCACGACCTTTCACATTGACCACGCCCATTGACTTCCTTTCCGACACGGGCCCCTCTCCGTTTGACCCTTTTCTGACCGAGCAGTGTGTGACAGAACCAAGGTAAACGTCCATGATTCAAGCCAAGGTGATAGCCTTCGAAAATGGTTACGGGGTCAAGGTTGTAAGTCAAGGTCAAATGTCCAAAAAATGACTTTGAAAAGTTTGAGTTTAGTTTTCTGTAACATGACCTTGACCTACGACTTTGACCCAATTATCTTTTCTGAAGGACGTCGTCTCTGCTTTCACCTCGAACATTAACTTTAAAAATACAGTAAGAAATAAGGCCACGGCAATCATAAACGCAAAGGCCCTGATATGGATGGGAAGTTAAGACTCAAGGTCAAAATCAAGGTCACGGCAATATTCACACCTAAAGGCCAATCCACTGATCAACACCAAATAGTATTTTATAGAACATGGTGGCTTCGCGCAAAAATTAAAGTATACGAAAATTTTATTAATTTTTATGAACTGCAGAGATAGGCAGCTAGTGCAGTGTGTCGGTTTCCGTCTTAGTGTCTTGTTATTCGAGTCTAAATAGTAAACAAAGCAAATGGCGTCAAACAGATGAAGTTCTCTCTCGTTAGAAATTAAAAGGTCGGTAAAATAAAAAGTTATTGATCGATTCGGCT